CCCAGGGTGGAGTGCGGTGGTGCAATCTCAGCTCACTGCAACCTCTGCCTCCCAGGTTCAAGTGATTTTCCTGCCTCAGCCTTCTGAGTAGCTGGGACTACAGGCACGTGCCACCACACCTGGCTAATGTTTGTGTTTCTTACTAATAGAGACAGGGTTTCACCATGTTGGTCAGGATGGCCTCCATCTCTTGACCCTGTGATCTGCCCACCTTGGCTTCCCAAAGTGCTGGGATTACAGATGTGAGCCATCGAGCCCGGCCCTACCTTGGCATTTAGACTTCAGCCTTGGCTTTTATAAAAGGCTGAGGTTGTTACCAAGCAAAGGTGACTGGGCAGTTCAGGTTGGTGAGTGAGGTGTTGCTAGCAATTCGGTCTGACCCAAAAATGGTTAGTCCTTAGGAAGAGGGAAGGGAGAGAGTTGTCCGGACTCCTTGGTTTGTTTGGAAAAACTCTTCCTTGCATCTCGGAGGCCTTCCCGGACAAGCCTAACACTCTCCTCTATAAGTGGGGCGTGTGTGGCTTCAACACAGAGTCCCACAGGGCAGGAAGCTGCCGTGGAAGGCCAGATGTGCTCTAGTTCCCACCGCCCTGGGCACGTGAGCATGGCTTCTGGAAGGCTGGGGATGCCTCAGCTAGATGGAGCAGCGGTTCTGAGCACAGGCTTCAGGACTGTGGCCACCTAAGCTCTAGTTTTGTCTGGAAATGGGGTTGGGGGTGGCACCGCCTCATAGGGTTGTGACACTGGTCAGATGAATATATCAACCAGGCGGGTCACAGAGGAAGCATGCAAACATTCGCTGCTGAGACTTTCAGCTGTTACTGCAAACCCAGTACTTACCATTTCTCCTCATTCCACAGGTGGAGGAAGAGAAGGGGGTGCCTGTGTCCCAGAACTACACACTGCCGTGTCTCATCCCTGACGCCCAGCCGCCAAACAATATCCACAGCTCAGCCATCCGGGCATATCTCAAGGTGATCAGTCAGGTAGACAGCAAACCTGTTATTGACGAAATCATAGAGCAACTCGACAAACTCATATTTCAAGATGCACTGGAAACAAGCATTTCTATGCCAACAGGCACCTTTGAATGTAAACGCTTCATCCTGACTATTTTTCAGCAGTTTTCAGAATGCATGGACCTCGCATTAAAATCATTGACCTCTGGAGCCCAGCAGGCCACCACCTAAGGCCATCTATTCCTTCTGGAATGGCAGGAACTTAAGCAGGCTTAAAAAAATGACCGGCAGCTATATGTGGAAACTCTGCCATGATTCCTAAAGTATATTTTTCCAGTAATCTCAGCGACCCCTCAGATGGGCTAGTCCTGGGAGGGCTGAGATGTAAATTTGTGGATTACCTTGAAAAACATTATGCTATTGTTATTAGTCTTGGTATTTATGGAATGTTTTTCTTCTGCAGGCTTAAATCTTACTTATTATACCCTTGTGAGAGCGGGAGGTGGCAGCTGTGTTAATTTGTTGCTGTTCATTATACGAAGAGTTGTTAATGCTTCTTGGGAGGGCCCTTGCAATCTGTTTAATAAACTGTGTTGAATTTTTCTCGTAATCTGTGATGAAGGGCTTGAAATTAGCTAATGGGACTCCAAGCTGGGTAGAGTTGTGGCAGAGGGCAGACGGACATGCTCTATCTAGAAAGAGGCATCAATTTTACCACTATCATTTCTCCCCACTGGACAGGCTCAGTAAAAAAATAATGACCCTGAGCCGGGCACCACGGCTGACACCTATAATCCCAGCACTTTGGGAGACCAAGGCAGGAGGATCACTTGAGCCCAGGAGTTCAAGGCCAGCCTAGGCAACATAGTGAGACCCCATCTTTATTTTAAAAAAAAGAAAGAAAAAATAATAATGATCCTGGCTGGGCACAGTGGCTAGTTTCGTCTGGACATGGTGTTGGTGATGGCCACAGCCTCACAGGGTTGCAACACGGATCAAATATCCTAGCATTTTGGGAAGCTGAGGCTGGAGGACTGCTTGAGGCCAGGAGTTTCAGACCAGCCTGGGCAACATAGCAAGATCCAATCTCTAAAAAATAAAAATAGCCAGATATGGTGGTATGCTACTTGGGAGGCTGAGGTGGGAGGATTGCTTGAGCCCAGGAATCCGAGGTTGCAGAGAGCTAGGACAGCACCACTGCAAAGCGTGATCCTAGCAGCAAAAAACACTCATTGAGCATTTTCTCTATGGCAGGACATGTTAAGTATCATCCTCTTCTCATAGGTAGGAAAACTGAGGCAGGAAGTCTGTTAGTCACTTGCTCAAGGCCACACCGCTGTTAAGAGGTAGAGCCCAGATTCCAGCTTGGGCTTCTCCGCCTTACCCAGGCTTTGTTCTTCCCTGGGCAATGGCTGGGTCTCACAGGCCAGGTGTGGCATGCAGCAACCTTACAGTGTGCTGGGCACAACTCCTCACTTGGTTTTCAGTGCCTAGGGGACTTCTTGATAGCTAGGTTCAAAGAATTTGTCAATTGAATCAGTGTTAAGTCCCAAACTGTTAAAGCTTCTTAGAGATCACTTGGACTCAAAGCGGGGTCTCTGCCCCAGCAGCAGCAGCAGCAGCCTGTGGCAACGTTTTAGAAATGTAAATCTTCAGGTCTCACCCCAGACCTACTGAATCAGAGGGTCTGTGGGTAGAGCCAGCAATCTGGGCTTTATGGAAACTTCCAGGGGATTCTAAGACACCCTCGAGTTTGAGAACCACTAATCTTGAGCCTACCAGCACCGATATCTTCATCTTATCTCTGGGGAAACTGAGGACCAAAGAGGTGTGGTTTGCACATGTAAGGGGGGATGTGGTCAGGACTCTGAGACATGCAATTCAGTCTTGGACTTTTCAGTTTTACTCTTGTAGGTATTTCTTTTTTTTTTGAGACAAGAGTCTCACTCTGTCGCTCAGGTTGGAGTGCAGTGGCATGATCTTGGCTCACTGCAATCTCTGTCGCACAGGTTCAAGCGATTCTCCTGCCTCAGCCTTCCGAAAAACTGGGATTACAGGTGCCTGCCACTCTGCCTGGCTAATTTTTATATTTTTAGTAGAGATGGTGTTTCACCATCTTGATCAGGCTGGTCTTGAACTCCTGACCTTGTGATCCACCCATCTCACCTCCCAAAGTTCTGGGATTATAGGCATGAGCCACTGCATTTGGCCTCTTGTAGGTATTTCTACTGCAGTCCCCTGGCAGGTTTTTTTTTTGTTTTTTTTTTTTTGAGACAGAGTTT